CATGGCTGACACATTCTCTGGAAGGCTGGTGGGGAGCATCTACCCCGTAATGTGTCAGCTGTCCTCCTGGGGCCCTGCTGCAGGGGCAGCCCAAAAAGGATGGGTTTGTCCTGGCCAGTGCGGCTCAGTTGGCTGAGCTTCGTCCCATGTACCCAGAGGTCGCCCAGGTTGTGAGCTTGAACCCTGGTGGGGGGGCGTGTGGGAGGCAGCCGATCGATGTTTCATTCTCACATTGATGTTTCTCTCTCAAATCAATAGATCTCTCATCGATGTTTCTCCCTTTTTCTCCCTCTCCTGTTCTCTCTCTCTCTCTCTCTCTCTCTCTCTCAAAACTCAAAGCATTTAAAAAAAGAAGATGGGGTTGCCACTATAACTGTCTTCCAAAGGCAGGTCTGGGCCCTCGAGTAGAGTGATGGGATTTGGGCAGGTTTAGGGCGGACCCCCAGGAACTGCCCACGCTGCCTCACAGTCCTGTAATGCAGCAGGCTGATGCCCAGGGCAGGGCCAGCCGCCACCTGGGTGCCAGGTTCTAAGACTCTGGCTCCTAATCTGATGACAGGCTCACCCTCGGTGTCGGCAGCTGGCGCCTTTCCTCCTCTGGCGGCTCCAAGCCACTGGCCCCTCCTCCCTCCCACCATCCCCTCTGGTGCTTCTGGGGCTGTTTTGCTTGTTGGTGTTCAGACGTCAGCTGCTGCAGCGGTGGCGGTGGGTGCTGGTGACAAGGTGGAAGCTGCCTCCCACCTGCCTGGGTGCGGGGGGCGTACAGCTACACCCCACTCTCCTGGGGGCCCTTCTTTGGAAGGCTGTCCCAGGGCTGCTGGGGCGCCCAAACAAAGCAGAGGGAATTCACGCCCCCAGAACCCGGAGTCCTTAACCAGTGACCGCCAGGTGCGCCTGTGGAGCCCCCTGCCGCTGGTGGGTGATGATGGGAAGAAGTAAACGAACCTCCAGCGTCCCCTCCAGAGCAGGCTCAGGCCCAGGCCCAGGCCTTTGGGAGACGGGGCCTGAGGTTAGGCTCCCACTGGCCGCCTTCCTTGTCTCCCCTGGAAACATGTCCTTTGAAATCCTCTCCATCTCTGAGGACAGACTCCAGCCAGGAACCTTAGACAGGAGGTCACGAGGCGCTGGAAGATCCAGGCCCGGCTTCCAAGGAGATGAAATTACAGCCCACAGGACCAGGGAGCTCTCTGTGTCCCGATGCCCCTTTCCGGATGCCCTGCGCTGCGTCCCTGGGCAGAGCCCACGTCCTGTGGGAAAGGCCCTGTGGGTGGAGCTGAGCGTGACTGAGGCTGGGTTGTGACATGGAGGGATGGAGACACAGCTGAGAAAACCACGGCCGCTCAGTTCGTTCAAAACTAAAAAGAAAGGAGCCGGACACACCGGTGGCTTTGGAGCAGAGCCATCGTCTTGAGGAGCAAAGAGCAACAGCCCCATACGGATGGCCCACGACAGCACTCGGCTGTGGTGCCCCTAGCCCCATGTGACCACGTGCATGTGAAATATTTAAAACAGTTAAATGAGAATTCCAGTCCTCGGCTGCACTAGCCCTATTTTAAGGGCTCAGTAGCCTCATGCAGCCAGCCGCTGCCATGCTGGGCGGCATGGATATAGGCCATCGATGTCACACAGCAAGGCTACTGACGGCGCTGGTCTAGGCTGACGGGAGGGGCCACGTCCACTTTTCTTCCCCGAAAGGCAGCCGAGGGTAGACTCTTAGCCCCCAAGCCGCAAAATGAGAGCCATTTATATGCCCATAGTGCTGTTTCCAAAGCACCTTTCCCCCTTCGATTTTGAATGTTGTTCTCATATCCCCTCTTCCCGGGACAGACCAGGCAGGACTTACTGGTACCATCTTATAGGTGAGGACTCTGAGGGTCCCTAAGGGACCAAAGAGGCAAAGTCACAGAGCTGCTCGGAGAGCGACGGGATCGGAGCTGAGCTTTGAGGTTTCAGCCGCCACTGCTGGGGCATCCAGGACAGAAAGGGAGGGAGAGGGGGAGGGAGAGGAGAGGGGTGCACTGGGGGACCCAACCACTCAGGTCTCTGCTGAGCTGGGGTATTTCCAATGCCCACTCTTGGCATGCACACTCACTTTTTTAAAAATTGTTTTCATTTGGGAAACCAAAATGGTGGCATAGGTAAACACTCGAGTTTGCTGCCTCGAACAACCACTTCAAAAATACAACTAAAAGACGGAACGGACATCATCCAGAACCACAGGAAGTCTGGCTGAGTGGAAGTTCTACAACTAGAAGGAAAGAGAAAAGCATACCAAGACTCAGAGGAGGTGTGGTGTGGAAGTAAAATACTAAGGTGCGGAGTGCATGTGGAGCAGGCTGGCAGCTGAGGGCGTGGCTGTCTGTTTCAATTGGGAGGGAGTCTCAGGCTCTGTAGCTCCAACTCCGGGTGAGTCTCTAGGGACCCAGACTCAAACGGGAGAAGCAGGACTGTCTGGCATCGGTCGGAACTCGAAGGCAGCTTTCTCTTTGAGGGAA